TCCCATTGCTTCTCCCTCTCCTTCCTTCTCTACTCCTGGTCCCCTCGTAGAGGCTTTCTCTTCTCCTTCGTACCTTGAGCCAGTCCGTTCCGTTAGACTGCTCGTTCCAATTACAACTTCCACATTTTTAGTCATCACGCTCGCAACGGGAACGTTCCGAGCGCTCACTCCAGTATTCACACCAACCTCGAGAGCCCTCTCAGGTCCACTAAATCCACTTAGCTGTGAACCCTCATCTCTTTTTGTGTCGCCAACCTGGCAAGAGGAAAGAGCGACACTTCTTTCCCCTTCCTCTTGCCCCCTTCATTGTCGGGACATTCCAGTCGGTGTAGTCGAACCTTGAGCAGTCATCGTTCCAGTCGCTACGGCATTCCTCGAGAGACTACGTAGTTTCTCGATCTCGGGACAGTTGGTCACGCCATGACCCGGTTGTCGACAGAAGAAACCCTCCGCGGTCCGGCGATCTCCAAATCGATTTCCACTCGTCCTCCTAGGCACGCTACACTCCATGGAGTAGTGCCCAAATTGGTGACAACGATTACACAGGCCTCTCGCGCGAGGACACGTCTCTCGACCGCACCTTTTTCGTTCGTAGCGCCCGCACACTACTTCTCCTTCTGCGGTACAAGTATCGGGACCCATACGAATGTTGGGAGGCTTCAGTTTGGCACTCACTCCGCTGTTAGAAGCTCTAGTTGGTTTCTGATCGTTCAGAGTCACTGCGCCTATGTATCCGTCGCTCGTTCCTGATTTTTTTTGCACGTTCCGATTTAGTAGTTGCAATTCTTGAAGTACTTGTAACTCCGTCGAGGGTACATTCTTCGTGCCTTGCGGCTTCATTCCTTCCTCGGGAAATTCATCGTCCTCTTCAATAGGCAGGTGAAGATTCTTGAACAACAGAATACGACAGGCTTGCTCAATAGACCCAATCATGTTACCGTTCAGCACCGCTCGCATCTGCTTGTTCCTTATTCCCTCAAGGAAGAGCTCGTACCTCATGCGGGGTTCGGGTAAGTTCAGCGCGTCGCATATCGTCTCGAGTCGATCACCCCATTCCTCGGCAGACTCGCCTCGTTTCCTAGCGGCCGTCTTAAGGCGAGTCCAGGTTTGGGTCGGAGTCAGGCAAACGAACCGGTTGTGAAATCTGAAATGAAGCGACTCAAAGCTATGGATTCTCGAGTTGTACCACCATTCTTGTCCCTTTTTACCCTCAGACACTGT